GATATTTTAACTTTGTTCTTTCTACCGTTGTCCATAGTTGAGTTTTATGACTTCTGCTTTCTGTCATCACCGGCAGGACGACTATGAGAGTCTTAGGCTTCGTTGGTGGATATAAACGTTCCAGACTTTGATATTGGTGGTTATGAAAGCCTTAGGTTTCGACAAGGGCTTAGAAAGTGTCAGACTTCAGTGTTTACGCTAAGAAAGTCTCAAACTCTAGCGAAAGTGCCTAAGAGGTCTGAGATATCAGCGGCTGAGATACATAAAATAGTCTCATGGGTCATAACTGATATATTTCCATAGTTTTAAAAGATTTATATTAGTTTCCCACATATCGTGAAATAGAAAAGAAAAAATGATTATAGAGAACGTACTGATGAGAGACAAGACAGAAGAATTCTTGAAACTGATTCTGATTGTCAAAAAATTTGAAAAAACTGGCACCCAATGTATTATGGTGACTTAAGTTTATGGAATCTATTTTCAGCGATGTGGCAGCGGACGGCAGATTTTCATAAAAATCGCCTGCAGAGTCTCAGCTGGCTTACATCTTTAAACGCCATTTGGGTGTCTATGTGGAAAAGCATTTACCAAATGGATTAATAAATCTTGTCTCTGTTTTTCTTACATTAGAGAAAATACGTAACGCTGCTAGTATGATGAGAACTCAGAGCATAATAAGCTTCTTTTTCACACTTGTTTTGAAATTTGCTATGACAGAGAAGAGATTAATTAGACGATGTACAAGCGAAAGTAATACAGAGAATTTTAAAAAAATGAATCAATGACATCAATTTAAAAATAGTGAAGTTACACACATCGGAAAAATATCTTATCATAACTTTTAAAAACATAACAAGACGATGAGTTAACAAGTTTACGCTATAGGGAGTGTTGTTTATGAAGATTTTCAGTCAAATTATCCTTTATAGCAATGCGAAAGATCACCCAGCGAACTCTTTTGTTCATGAAAGTAAACTGTTTATTGTAAATAGTTCTATTTTGCTATTTGTTTACCTGATAACATTGACTCCCATGAACTCGATCATGAATGATTATAATCATAAGTGTTAATAACTAAAACAAAAAAACAGTATAGATTTCAAAAAAGTCTCAAACAGGTCGATCCTACAAATTCTTACATTAATATTATAATATATACAAATATCATTAAAGACACGATGTGATCAAATGATTTCTTCTGAAAAGTAATTGTCAGAGGTCAGAAAGTACATGTACGGCACTAATATATTAGATTCGAACAAACTTCTCTGTACAGATGACATTTGCCAGAATGAAACTTAATGAAAAGAAAGAAAAACTTGTATCATAATTGTACGCAAGGTCCATATGGAATGGTTACATGAAACCAACATATGTTGTTTGGATTTATGGAGATCGTATGCTAATATTCTAAAAGCTACCTATTGATATTTCTACTCCTAAGTTTTTTCAGAGCTGTTAAATAAATAAAGTTATATTTTTTTAGCTACATAGGCTTTAAAAGAATGATTTATTGCTTTTATGCATTCACTCCAGCTGACTCTATATTCAAAAAGCAATTTCATACTAAAATGTGAATCAATCAATTGTTAAGAGTTACAAGCTGCTACCTCACGATCAATAGCACAATATAATATTTTTAAACAGAACAAAAATTTAGTAAAATGTTTATAACCCTTTGTCTATAGAAGTATCATATATGATACCTGATTGTTAGCGGTGATGTTGGTCTAGCTAACTATGAACAATCTGTCGATTGTCTTTTTCTCTTCATGATGTTGAAATTCTACCTCTATACCCTCTCTACTCTACGTTATGATATATATATAGAGTGAATAAATATATGCTCTAACATCGGAAACATTTTTCGTAGGATTGCACTTGGAAAATTAAACTCGTAGCCAAAGGAATAATTTGAAAAGATTGATTTAAAGGAAGAAATTTTTTTCAGCTTTTTATATCTCGCCAAGGCCTACTTACGATCAAAAGAGTTTGAGCTGATGAAACGTACTTCCTCTTACGAAAATGTTATAATAAAAAATACAACCCAAAAAAAACGAATAAAATTATTACTAAACTACTTATTCCATCTGTAAAGATCAAGTAAAACATTAAGAAGAATTCTTCTCGAGAAGAACGGAAAGCAATTTTTTGACATTTCCGTTAAACTATTGCTTATCTCACTCTTATCTACGTTAAAATAAAAAGAAAGTAAAAGATGTGTTTATAAGATTATTAGATATTTTAATCAGGGTATGAGGACATTGTTGGACGGAATTAATGTTTTCTTTATATATTGGTTTTTTAGACCCAGTTATATCCTTCAGTGTTACAGTGACAGGTAAGTTTTCGAATAACACATGTTTTTATTAAGTTAAATAAATTTGATTCCTCTCTTTAGTATATCATTTCCCATCAACGGTATTTACGAATGGAAATGGATTTGGTGTTCAACCATATTATGAAAGTAAGATAAAGTGATAGTTCTTTTTAATGAATCAGAGAAGATGAAAACATCGATTGATGTGGTTTGTTGAAACATGACTTGTAAGAAAAACTTTCTTCTATCAAGAGTAAATTTTAGCCTGTCTTCAGCTGTTTATAGAGTATTTTGTACCTATCGGTTATTTGTTATCAGATACTATTAACAAGTAACGTTCATCGACATCGAAGGTCGATTCACTGGGCCCTAGACTGACGCAATGATGACAAGCAGATGGTTGTATTTTTACCGTAATTTGTGCCGTGTAAATAGTAATTTCTACCATAAAAATGGTCGTTTCTGCCATAGAAATAGTCATTTGTGCCATAACAATGGTCGTTTGTGTCATAACAATGGTCGTTTGTGCCATAGAAATGACCATTTGTGTCATAAAAATGGTCATTTGTGCCATAGAAATGGTCATTTGTGCCAAGCCCTTGTTACAGACAGACAGACACAGGTGAATTACGGTTTCTAGACCCTAGCCTTTCAGTCTAGGGAACAAAATAAATGGAAAAATATTTGTGAAGCTATGTTAACTGATAGATGATTCATTTCTCAATACACTGAGTAATGATTCAGGAAGAACGAAATATCTTTTTATTAGTATTCGATAGAGTTCAATTTCAATCGAGTGGCTATGTGAATCATTTTACATAAATAACTGTTAGTATATAACTAAATTATGAGTAAAAGATCTATTTGTGATAGAAAAGAAAACGTTCAGCAATGTATAATAAGCAATATTTACTTTGTACAGTTTAATTATATTATCAACTTTTGTTTTAGTGGATATGACACTTAGTCGGAACGTTGTACCAACACCATAATGTTATCATGAACACATAATAAAAACACAAAAATCCATGCAAAACTTTGCAATATAGTTTTGTTCCAATCATCTTCGCAATTGAGCAATGATTTTTTTGTGTTATAATCGCATCTTTTCCCCTTATTTCTTCGTCAAAAGACATTCAGTATTTTTTTCAATAAATGTATCATATATTAATCTCGCACATACTTCTTTTCTTTACTCTTTTTCTCATATATTTTATCTCACCTTTCTTTATTTGTGCCATCCTTCTTATTCTTCTTAGTAAATTTGAAATACACTGTGTGCCATTAGGCATATTATATTATATGATATCTGTACTTTCTCAGTGTGTTCTTGTACAATCCATGATACGCAGTATTCACAATTGTAGTACTCTTACGTTTATCTATACATGATGGAATCGTGTTCTCTTTCTCTCATAATGTGATTATAACTCTATACCAATGTTCGCTCGTAAATTATACATTCTGTTCTCGCCTATGTGTTCTTTCTCTAATGTTCTTTTATATCTTTCCTCTTTCTTTTCTCTCTCTTTTATTGTACCTTCCTTCTCTCTCTTTTCTTTCTTCTCTTCCATCTCTCCCATATATAAGTTCATGTTGTACGTGTAAATGTTACATTTGGATGTAGTGCACTTGTCGAATAAACATCATGCTCACAATGAAATCAAAGACAATAAACGTGCCTCTCCATTTGTCATTAATGAAAAAATTATATATATATATATATAATCTTTTCGTTACACACTGATTTTTTGAATGTGGTATCACAGAAAAGGTCTGCTTATTAGCGACAACAAAAACAAAATTACATCAATACATAACTATGAGTTAATATAGAGTTTCAGTGCTAATAGCAATCAAAAAAACAAAAATAATTAAACAGAAAAAGAATAATAGGAATCGAATTTTTGATGGAAAAATATATATAAAATTTTATCTCCATGTTTCTGAGAAAGCACGCGAGTAATGGGGGTAAAATTTTTGATTCTAAAATCTATATAGAATTTTACCTCCATCTTTCTGGAAAGATGTGAAGATATAACTTTTCTAAGGTGCACTATATAGGAACTATTCACCTGCTTTTCAATGAAGGTGAAAAACAAAGAATTTTTTGTAAATGATGCTGTATATAGATGAAAAATTTCTTCTCATAAAAAAGAACAAATAATAAAACTCTTCCTACAGATATTCCACCTCTTAACAGAGTCGCACGTATCCGCACACATCGCATTAGGGATGCAACAAGTCCAATTCCAACCAATTCCAATTCTAAGAATTGGTTCGAATTGGAATTTGTTGGAATTCGAATTGGTAGGAATTGGTTGGAATTGGAATTGGTCGGAATTGAAATTGGAAGAGTTGGAATTGGTTAGAATTGACGGGAGTTACCTAAACTTCATACGAAATTCCAGAAATAAGTATGGAGTTGGACTGAAACTGGCTACACTTCGCTTCAGCTAGAGTCAGTTTCCCTAATAACGACGGAAAAATTTTCACATCTCTTGTTTGATTCCGTTCTCAGTCATTTTACATTCGACTGAAAATATTTTTATATTTGGATAATCATTAGTCTCCTCTTTCAAATGGTACGATCACGACCTCTCTACATCGTATTGCAGTTGAGATATCAGCGGTCTACGATCGAGGACTCCACCCGTCGTTATTTAGTGCAGTTTCCTTAATTCCGACGACAAGCCAAATTTTTTCCCAAATAACGACGTTCTAAGAAAATTCAAGCAAAAATGTATCTTTTTTGGAAAAAACGTTTTTTCACATTTTCTAATTGAAAAACGAGGGAGGGTCTCGCTGGCAATTTTGTAGAGCAAGTCGAGTTCTACCTATATCTAAAGGTCCATGAAGATTCAATGTTCTCATCACGAGATACATAGCTTGAAATGAAGACAACTAAGATCGATCAAAAAAAAGTATCCTTAATAACGACGGCCAGCTATTTTTTTTCCTTAATAACGACAGTCAGCCAATTTTTTTCCCAAATAGCGACGGCAAGCCAATTTTCTTTCCGAATAACGACGGCAGTTATTTTTTTTCCCTAATAGCGACGGTCAGCCAACTTTTATCCCAAATAGCGACGGCAAGCCATTTTTTCCCTAATAACTATACATCATTAAAACAAACTAGTTTAAAACATAATAAGAATTAATGTAGAATGACATACGTACAAAGAATGAGGTAGGCTATAAATAAAATTCCATTAATCCGTTTTTCTGGATGATCGTTGAGATTCTCGTGAAACTTTTTTTTTTCATTTTAGCTTTTTTCACCTCTGCCTTTTCTTTTAAGTCCTGTAAAAGATTTCCATTGGTTATATCTTCACTAAATTTTCTTTCAATACGTAAACGACGATTCAATTTACCTGGTTTTGGTTGAACAGATTCATTATTATTTCGTACATAAGAGGAAATTATTGTTCGAATAGCTGATGTAGGACTAAGTCGAATTGATATTGATGATGATGTACTAGTTAAATCACCATTATTTTGTTCGGAAGAACAATCCAAATGTACATCTGAATCTAGAATATATTGACGAAAAGAATAATCGAAAAGATATTGATAAAATCTGATCATAATGAATGTTCGTTGGCTTTTGTTTTGTTGATGAATCAACATCCATATCCATATCCATATCACTAAAGTATAAAATAAGTGATATGAATGAAAAAAAATATGAGAGTTGATTAGTTTCATACTTATCATCACTACCGTCGTCATCAAAAGTTACCTGACGACGAGATGAAGATGATCGTAAACTA